AGTTTAAATGGGCCTTTCATGTTATATCATTAAATTTAGTAATACTATTTCTCGGGCATTAGGTTTTAACTCTTATAAGAATATACATATTTTTTTCTGTTAATGTACAAATATTTTTCCGATGTGTTTTGGATATTCCTTCTCTAATAAAAAGAGATACCATTTTGTTTTCGTTTGCATAAGAAAGAATATCAAGCATTTTTCTTTTTTAAATTTAATTAGCCACAATAAAGAAGGAACGTTGCAATGCTACGTGCTACATTAACGACGTCTCTAGAGTAACTGAATGACTGTTCATATAGAAATCGCAGGTATTAGTCTCATACAACAACGCCCCCTATATTTCGTTGCGATCGCGAATTATAATTTTTTATTTAAAACATTCTGACAACAAAAACAGTTGAGTACTAACATCATATTTTTATAAATTTGCCTTTTTTAAACATCTCATTTTATATTACCTGCTTATGACGATCCGATTTTTGCTTAATTTCTTTTTAAGTTCATGAAATGAGTTTTATGAATATAATATTTTTTTAATAACAATACGAAGTTTAACAGCTAATCATCCAGCCATTTATGTAAAATATAAATATCTTTATAATTGATTCAAAATTTGAAAATAAGTAACTTATGAATATTACTGTTATTACCTGGACGCGGCGGAGGACTTGCAACACCATCCTCAGTTAATGGCTCTTCAATCACCGACGATTCTTCATCAATTTTGTTCTCTTTGGCCGAATCATTTTCAGCTGTTGATTGATCTCCAGTAGTCGGTCCCACTCCGATAGCATGCCCATCACTAGATCCATGTTCATTATTCGTCAAAGCATCTACAACTACTGTTGAACCTTCCTCTGTTGAAGGGGTTTCCCCCTTCATCCCCCCGTGATCTCCATCCAAAACAATTGAGCTTTGATCATTAATAGAAGTACCATCAAAAGTTATTGTGCTTTCCTCAATAAGTTGTGAGTTGTGTGCCTTTTCCACTTCTGCTACAGAAATATCTGGGTCTGATTGTACCAAAGATTGGCAATTAGATAGAAATGTTGATGCTACAATAAGTGTTCTAAAATGGAAATAATATTTGATTATTAAATATTGAATATTGCCAGTAAAGATTTATTCAACTTCAACATTCACAATCAAATCACTTTGAATTTCGTCATTAGGTGATATTAGTAAGAAAAAATATATATACAAATATGATATGATAAGCTATTCCTAAAGCCACTGGACGGAATAGTTTGGATGTATGACCTTTTATATAGGATTAGTTAATTAAGTAAACTTCTAAATTAATTATAGCCTTTGTTAAATAACTTTAATTATTTAATTTTAATTGTCTAGTTCAATAAACTGTTTATTTTTTACTACTATTTTTTGTTTGTAAGAAGTGAATGGACTCTGGTTTATGAACAGCCACCACCGATGAATGCAGGTAATTCGTGTAGGATTTAAAATTATGAAAGATGTATGAATGAAGGGTAAAGTCTTTCTATCCATGTAAGCAGGGTTTGATTTATGAGCAGTCACCCTATGACAGAAGGATTGCATGTATCATGATAAAATTACGAAATTTTATCACATATTATAAAACCATATATTTTACTGTCAAATTTACCAAAATCATTACCAAAGTACTTCGTTAAAAATTCCTGAGCTCTTTGTGGTTCCATACCAGCACGGTAAAATAAAGGCATTTTCGTAGGCAACGGGAAACAGATAATGGCATGGGCGATCATAGCAAAAATTATGATTAGATGTGTGCTTGCTTTGTTCAAAAAGATGAAGAGAAAAATTTTAAAACGGACAATATAAAAGTATTTAATCTGATTTTTTTTTAAATTTTAATTGTAACCAAAACGTGTGATGTCAGACTTCTTTTCATTCCCTCGCTCCCCCCCCCTTATTGCAAAGTAACGCAATTTAAGAACTCCATTCCCTCCCCCCGTTACATCTTGATCTTATATGTACATTGAACAGCCTTATGGGTAATGAAGGAGGGGCTTACTTGTCACATACTTTATTTGTCAAACATATATATATATATAATATATTCTGCACGAGCTTTCGTTTAGAATTTGAAGCTTTTTAACATAAAATTAAAAAATTTCCAAGGAAAAAGTTTAACAACTTTAAATCGCATGATCTGGACTGCTGATTCTGATGCTTAAAGCTAGAAATACATGATCAAAAAATGCTCCAACTATTGTTCAACATGCAAAATTATAAATTTTCCATTATAATAATTTGAATTTTACAACAAATATTATTTGTGGGACAAGTTTTCAATTAAAAGCATTATAAAAGGAAATTCGTGAGAAATGTTTATAAATATCGAATTAATACAAATATTCATATTAAAAATTATCGATTATTTTAATAATATATGTTTTTAATACAAATATTCGTATAATAGATTATTTATTATAATAGAATATTTGCATATTATACAAAGTATATAAATATTATTTATTAAAAATGTATATTTTTTTGCAACGCAAATATCTGTATACTGAGTTCTCTGCTTTAATAATTTACATTGTAATACAAATATTTATATTATAAATTCTGTTCATCCTATTTAACGTTGAAATTATTACTAAATAAAATTTAATGTCTAAGAATTTTGAACCTTTAAAAGCATGTTTAGGTGAATATAAATATGCCTTAAGTATATAAGTTGCGTACATAAATATTATATCTAAGTATAGTTAAGTATATAAACATTAAACGTAAAAAATTTATATTTTACTACAAAAATATTTATATACTGAATTATCTGCTATAATAATTTATATAATTATACAAAAATTCATGTTAGAAATTCTGTTCATCCGATTTCACGTTAAATATTATTGCTACATGAAACGTAGTGTATATTTCTTCGTTTATATACATCAATCACCGTCCAGTCTCAAAGGTTCTGATAAATACCCGTTATCAACAACAATCAAAATTTAAAACAATCATGTAAATTTCTTAATAACTTACCTAACATCAAACAATCTAAATCGTAAGTAATTCAGTTTATAATATAGTTAAAAATCAGTTTCAGTACTTACATATAGCATCCAACAAAACTCTTTCTCGCCATTTCTGTCTGGGTTGAACCAAGTTTTGTAATTTGATCTTTACTTTATCGAAAATTGAGATAAATGGAATTTGCTTTTCTTTGAATAAGGCAATTTTATTTCTTATAACATTTCAGTATTTTTTTTTTTTTTAAATCTATCAGATTAAAATGATATTAATTCAAATTATACTAGATTGTCTTAAGATTTACAAAAAAATTTTCGGGTAAACGGGTTCAATTAAACTTTTTTTTCAGTATATATTAAATTTTTTGTGCATAAAACAAAATAGGCCAAATAATAATAATAAATAATAAGTAAAAAAACAGTTGATTTACCGTTAATACTGTTTACCGTTAATATTTGATTTACCGTCCATCCGGCAAACCGAAAAGTAACAAAATTTCTTTGCCTTCGAATCTGTGTTTCTTAGTTATCGAATTTTAATAATCTTTTATTTTGTCAGGGAATAGAGCACTCACCTTTCAATGATGTTACCCAGGTTCAAATCCCAGCTGTGGCTGGTTAATACGAATTCTATCTGCTTGCATTGACCACAGTGCTGATGTAGAATATCCTCTGGTAGATAGATAATTGTTTAAAATCCCCTTGTCGTCGGGCTAACAGTGAAAAGTTTTCGTAGTTTTCCTCTCTGTATAACACAAATGTGGGTTAGCTCCATCAAAAAGTTTTCCACGAAGGATAGTTTGTTCCAATACTTGACCCAGGAGCTCCCTTGTCTTTTGGGTTGGATTCAAAAATACAAGGTCACGGAGTTTAACATTGATAGTCTTTAACTCAGGATTGAGTCGGCTGTTCAACTTCGATTATGGTTGGTTGGTTGGTTCTAATGCCACTTGCCACACGGGCAAGCCTGCTAGACGAAACCGAGCAAAATTTAACGCAGAGTGAGCGATTCTTGTTTTACAGTGGCGCCATCTNTAAATGTTTTATCAGTATTCTGAGAAATACCGTGAGAAAAAAAAAGTAGGCATAAGGCAAATAAAAATATATAGTCTTAAAAAATAATAACCCGCATAATTTCTACTAAAATTTTTATTTTTGTCTGTATTATTTTGTAAATTCACTTTGTCTGAGCTCAAGGGGGGGGGTTAAACCCCTAAACCGCTCCCCCTTGCGTACGCCCCTGCACACGGGCAAGCCTGCTAGGCGAAACCGAGCAAATTTAAGGCAGAGTGAGCGATTCTTGTTTTTCAGTGGCGCCATCTGTGGCCAGAATTCGACTTCTGACACATCATACGTCACGCCTGTTTATGAGGTGAACCCATTCATACATCCATTCATTCATCCACATATCGTAATTTTGACCTGAATCAGAGAATGATCAACGTCTATTATAAAATAAAATAATGAGTAATAAGTAAATAAATAAAAGAAGTAGTTGATTTAACTTGCGCTCGACTAACCGAAAAGTAACGAATATTTTTTGCCTTAAATGAATCTATCTGTATTTCTGAGTTATCACGTTTTATTAGTCTTTTATTTATAAATTTGATATCTCGAGAATAATTCGACCAATTTCGTGCAAATTTTATATTTTGCCGATTAAATTTGCATACTTTGAGAGGATATAAAAATTTGTATGACTTACAATTCAAATTAAAACTCTTCTAAAATAAACTAATAAAAAAATAAATATTTATTAAACGTTATTTTTACATGGAATTGTCTTTGGATAAACGAGTTTTATAATATTGCGCAAAATTTTTTTGATTCGTTTAAAAATATTTAAGATATTGTATGAAAATTCAATTATTAGAACAAAAGTTATTTAAGTTCCACACTTTTTTTTATTTTGCTCACCGTGCATGTATACGTCCTTAACTTCATTTTTCATAAGGCTTCTAAAAGTATTAATTTAAGACAGCATTGAAAATGAAGCAGTACATATATTTTATACTCATTTTGCAGCACTATTTATTTTTGTTTCTGATGATACCTTTATAAAAGTAACTTGAAACTCACTGAAAATCTGTTAAAAATGTTTTCCCTACATACCTTAAATCTGTTTTTATTTTCGATCAATATCAGCTCTTTTTTATTATTTGCGTGCTTGTGCGAACGATTGTTTAAATTTACGGTTTCAATTAACCATAAAACAATGAAAATAAGTTTGAGTTTTAAATAAATCTTAAACAAAACTCTTTTTCTCAAGCTTAAACAAATATTAATACTTAAAAAGAAAGAAAAAGGTACTTTCCATTAAAGATTTTTGTTTTAATTTATTTTTTGAAGTTGTTATTAAAAGAATTTCTGCAACTGAAATCATACTTTTTATTCATATCCAATTTAAGAAAATTTGAACAAGTTTGTATTGAAAGGAGTAGAATAATTGTTTTTTATGTACTCATATCATAGTTGAAAATTGCTAATTTAATTACCTCCAATTATTTCCAACAAAATTTTTTTTTTATAACTAAGAAAGTTTCATAAAGAAAAAACACAAAATGAACATGGACATGTACAGATAAACAAATTTCATTAAATTCATTGTGTTTTGCTTTTAATTATACTTTTTGAAGATTACTATTCAGAAGGATAATTTCTTTGCATTACATCAGACAGACAATATTAACTTGCCATTTAATTTTATATATTGGTATGGCAGGAACGTAGATTCGGTTTTTTAATCTGAAATATTCGATACATACTCAATATATTCGATACAAAAAAAAATGAACTTTAATCAGTAATCAGACAAATATCTTCCATTATTTTAGAATATCATTTGCTATCTTTTTGTTGTCCATAAGTGGACTGATCGTAAAGACACGGTTCCCAGAAGAACACTGAAATCAAGCATCACTGGCTGTGGTCAGTAAGCGGGTGGGTGACCACTTTGATCAGCCTGAAAAGGGACCGAGGGTGTGCTGTATCTGTCCTCGTTAAATTGTTCTACCGTGAAGTACTTGACATTAGTATATTAGTCAAAGCAAATGTAGATTTCATGAGAACTGAATTAAGCTTAACGTTGTGACACCAGTTTTAAAATATTTGGTATATTTTCACACCTGCCAACATTTACGTTATTTACAGTGTTTTAGTCTCGGTGAAAAACAAAATTTAATTAATTGATTTTTATTTTCACTGAGACTAGGAAACTAGACAAAGACAGTAAAATTTTCACAACTATCAAGAATGAAAGCTTTTTAACAGATGTAATAACTATTTTGAACACATTTGTTTTTCTTCATCACTCTGAGAATTAAATCCTCAATTTTCTTCATAGGTCGGTTGGTTCTAATGCCACTTGCCACACTGGCAAGCCTGCTTGATGAAACCGAGCAAATTTAAGGCAAAGTGTTCAATTCTTGTTTTTCTGTGGCGCCATCTATGGCCAAGAATTTGACTTCTGCCACATCATACGACACACCTGTTTATAAGGCGGACCCATTCATCCACAGATCGTAATTTTGGCCCGATTCAGAGAGCGATCGGTCTCCAATCCAGTATCCCCAGAAGTATTGATTTGTTATGGGAACATGGAGAACTTTGCGATTCGACAGAATTTTAACGTGCATGAGTCATCAACTACACGAGGAGTCTTCGGCCGGCGAGGTTCGAACCCACTAACTCTCGGACGTGGGCCCGGGGCCCTACCGACCATGCTATCCCGGCCAATTTTCTTCATTCTATGGCTTACCACTTTCGAAACCCAGTGTAAACCCAAGAATGCTTTTTGCCTTTTGACGCAGAATTTTTATTAAATTTTCGAAATTTATTTTGTTATTAAAGTCAAAACAGTAAATTAATTTATCATTTTAATAATTTATGGTTCTGAAATAGACACCGGTGTCTTTTCTGCTGTGTTTTGCCTCATTGCCTACTGCATGCATTCTGAAAACTTTTTCTCGTAGTATAAAGTTTAGTGTTATATAGTTTTTTGTTGTAAAATTCCTTTTGCCATTTTATTGGAGAAATCTCTTTTAAAGAGCAAAAGTCCCTCTTAACTATTCTAAAAATTATCTTTAACTATTCAAAAATAAGTGGGAGAAAGATTTTCATCCGCACTCTGGTTGTACTCTTCAGAAAACGTCCACAGAAGGAAATGTGTGAGCTTTCGAACTTTAGTGTTAACAAATAAAATCCACGGGCAAAGATGACGTCAACAACAGATGTAACCACTATGAAGCCAACCGGCCTGTGTAGGGGGCAGGGAACTGTCCTTGCATCAGAAAGATCCTGGGTTTGAATACCGGGCAAGGCATGGATACTTCTTTCTCTCTGTGTGTGTTCTATGTCCTTTCTCCTTTGTGTGTGAATGTGACTCGATCTATAAACGGGTTGTGGTTGTGTGAATGGCGTGGCAGAAGTCGAATTCCTGCCCATAGATGACGCCACTGAAAAACAAGAACAGTCGCACCCCCACTGCCTAAACAGGCATACGACAAAAAAAAAAAAAAAAAACACTATGAGGGATGAGAAATTATTTTAAACTAAGTCGAAATTCAAATGATAAATTCATAACTATCCCTTAAAAAATTAGTCCATTATCCTTCCGTCGATGCATTGTAAATCCACTTAATTTCCTTAATTAAACAGGAATCTCTATCTGAATCGATCCACGCCTTAGGTAGATCTGATAGTCTTCAATCTTTGCGTCCGCAATAAACTTCGACAAAATATTATTTTAACTCTTTACATTTATTATAGTACTAATCGTCCTCGGCGACCAATTGTTCTTATCCTCTCTAACCCAACGCTTCCCTGCTCCACGTTGCTTTGAACACTTGGTTCTCCCCACTTTGCGGCTCCCTATAGATTAGCTTCATACAATAGTGTTCAAATCAGTTATGTAGCGATACTTCTTTTACTCGACAGATTATGTAGACAATAAATGATAAGCATTAAATTTAGTGTTCTTAGCCTTTGGAAAAAGAATTGTTTGCAAATAAATTAATTTATAAGGATTTATTTATAAATTCGGATATATGAATTAGGCCACTTTTTCATGCTTCAAATTTAAAATGAAAACTGAAAATTTAAAATCTGAGGAATTTCCAGTCATCAGCTTTAATTTGGAACATGAGATTTTATTATTTACTAAGAATTATAGATTTTAATGCTTACTGCAATGATGAAAACAGC